ATCTTTAAAGTATTTCTAATTCTGATTCTGATAAAAGAAACAAATAGGAGGATATTTTGTTTAAAAAGCCATAAAACAGAAAAAATGTTGTTGAACATTCTAGAACCATTTAAATATTTATAAAATATATAGAAAATAGTAAATTATATATATATATATATATATATATATATATATATATATATATATATATATAGATAGATAGTAAATAATAAAATGAAATGAATAAACTAAGTCCTTTGGCACTGACACTGGACATACTTTCAAGTTAAAGTTTCAGGCCATTATTGTTGTTTGAGACTACTTTCTTTTTTTCGTAATCTTTTTAAAAAAGTTTTCATGTAAAAAAATGCATTTAAAAATGTAGGGTTAGGGTGAGGGTTAGGATATTGTTTGTCTTCCGATTTCGTATAGACAGTAAAGTTTCATTTCCACCTCAGAAAGCTGCTAGTCACATGACCTAATCAAAATGGCCGACTTGGATATGGGAAGAGTTGGATATCCAGCAGAGGTTATGGGGGTTAGGGTTAGGGTTAGGATCAGGGTTAGGGTTCGGGTCAGGGTTATGTTTAGGGCTATGTTTAGGTTTTGTCAGGGGGGTGGGTGTTTACGGGAGGACTCAGGTGCGGAGATGAGGGGAACATGGTTTATTGTACAAAAACAGGGTGAATGTCCAGACAAAGTACAAAACAAAGCTGTGGCAAACGGTGGGCAAAGTATCAAAGCAAGCAAACAAGACTGTGGAAAAACTATGACAAAGTAACAAAATAAAGATTAACAAGACTATGACAAAACGTGACTATGACTGTGGCTGTGGCAGAACTATGACGAAACAAACCTGGCGTGGGGGTGACGACGGACGAAAGGACAAGAGACAAGACAAGAAGACTAGAACGACCCCGCACCAGACAAGGGGAAACGAGGACTATTTAAACACATGAGGGAGGGGAACCCCAGGTGTACACAATAGGTAATCAAGACGAGACATTCCCCCAGGCGTGACAGGTTTATGTTTAGGGTTAGGTTTATGGTTGGGGTCAGGGTTAGGGTTAGGGTTAGGATTAGGGTTAGGGTCAGGGTTAGGGTTATGTTTAGGGTTATGTTTAGGGTTAGGGTCAGGATTAGGGTTAGGTTTAGGGTTAGGGCCAGGGTTAGGGTTAGGGTTAGGTTTAGGTTTATAGTTTATGGTTAGGATTAGGTGTAGGGTCAGGATTAGGGTCAGGGTTATGTTTAAGTTTATGGTTAGGGTCAGGGTTATGTTTAGGGTTATGTTTATGGTTAGGGTTAGGGTCAGGGTTAGGGTTAGAGTCAGGGTCAGGGTTAGGGTTAGGGTTAGGGTCAGGGTTAGGTTTAGGTTTATGGTTTATGGTTAGGGTTAGGGTAGAGCTATGGTTAGGTTTATGGTTAGGGTCATGTTTAGGTTTATGGTTAGATTTAGGTTTGTGGTTAGGGTCAGGATCAGGGTCAGGGTTATGTTTAGGGTTAGGGTCAGGATTAGGTCTAGGGTCATGTTTAGGGTTAGGGTTAGGGTTAGGCCCGGCTGTGGTACCTGAGGCCCCCCGATAACGAAGCGGCCGCTGGGCTGCAGGTGCAGGACGGTGTCCTGGTCCAGGTAGCGGCCGGGCACCACGGCTTGGACCACCTTTTCCCGCAGCACCTGCCTCTGCTGCTGCAGGCTCACCTGCTCGTCGTGCTGCACAGAAACCACCACGGTGTGCACCCTCAGCGGCACCACAGCGCCGCCCTGCTGGCCGTAGTGCACCGTCACCTGCACACAGACGGGGCCCTATTTTTTTTAGTATTTTTAGCCCATTTCGGCTGAACTGGGTGAATATAAACATTTAAAAATGGCTTTTTTTGGTCGTCAATAATGGCCTGAAACTTTCAATTAAAAGTGTTTGTTACTTTTCGTAGTGCCAAATGACTTAGTTTATTCATTTCATTTTATTATTTACTATATATGTATATATATATATATATATACACGGTGTGCACCCTCAGCGGCACCACAGCGCCGCCCTGCTGGCCATAGTGCACCGTCACCTGCACACAGGACGTATTTTCTTATTTGTTTTTGTATTTTTAGCCCATTTCGGCTGAACTGGGTGAATATAAACATTTATAAAAATGGCTTTTTTTAGTCATCAATAATGGCCTGAAACTTCAAATTGAAAGTATGTCAGTGTTTGCCCTTTTCGTAGTGCCAAATGACTTAGTTTATTCATTTTATTTTATTATTTACTATATATATATATATATATATATATATATTTTTTTTTTTTTATATATTTTTTTATTTTTTTATTTTTATATTGTATATAATAAAATGAATAATAAAATGAATATATAAATATATATATATATATATATATATATGTGTATATATATCCTCACCTAGGCTCAAAGGATCTGGAGATCATCAGAGACGGATTTTTATACCATTTTGGTGCAAAAAGGTAAAAAAACAAACATCAGCTTTGGTTTGAGCTTCATTAAATAAGGATCCCCTTTTAGTGGATTTATTTATCTTATTTTTATCTATTTATTTTATTTTCACAACAAAAACATAAAAACAGTATTAGGTTTTCACTAAATGCACCGTGGCCTGAAACTTTAAATTGAAAGTATGTCAGTGTTTGTCCTTTTCGTAGCGCCGAAGGACTTAGTTTATTCATTTCATTTTATTATTTACTATATATATACTACTATTACTATTTTACTATATATATATATATACACTATACACTATACAGTGGGGGAAATAAGTATTTGACCCCTTGCTGATTTTGCAGGTTTGCCCACTTACAAAGAATGCAACGATCTATAACTTTAATCATATGTACATTCTAACAGTGAAAGACAGAATCCCAAAGAAAATTCCAGAA